GGGCAGAGCCAGATCACTATCCCTTACACGAGTGGAGACAAGCGCTGAGCTTTTGGCAAAAATGTTTGCGGAGCATCTAAAGATTTACCTGTTCATATTTTTCCAAAGTGCCTTCGGTATTAGTTACTGCTATGCGTCAGACCCTTCAACTGTGGTGGGTGGGTTATTTGCTCGCGTGTGCCCCCCTGAACCATGCGGTGCCACCAAGTGCAAGACGCGTCGTCGATCATACTCGAAGACCCCAGTGAGCTGCAACAGAATCAAAATACTTATGACAGGAATTCTACGAAAAACAAGTATCCACCCATCCAGTCGCCATGCGCCCTGAGCACAGGTTTTGGGTTGCTCTGAGAAGAGGCGTCCTACACGCGTTGCAACGCACATTCCTGCGGTTAGTGCGGCAGGGCAACTCCACATGCAAGCTCAGCCAATGCCTCCATTTCTTCTTCTGCGGGCATTGTTGTCCATTGTTTATCTCTTACTTGGTCCTTCGTAGGCAGCCTGCACGCGGTAAAGTCAATAAACGAACTTCGGACAGGCCCTGCAACAATGGTAAACTGCAACTTTGGTTGCAAGGCATCATCGCATGAAATGGTGCACAACCACGTTTTTTTTGCATGCAGTAACACTGTATGCAGCTGCTTAACACCTTCTTCGGCCTCAACACTCCACCTGCGGGCGAGTATAAATCCATGCACAAGGCAGACTATTCATTTGCGTCTAATTATGTACGTTTAAACTCGTTCCTACCTGCATATTGCCACGGCAGTATTCTGTAGCGTGCATTTGTCTAACACCCACCCAAAATATTTGCGCTTGTGAAAATCTGTAAATTTACGTGCGTGACCGGTGTATTTACATGCACATACTGAAATCCTAAGAACCTGACATATAACACGGGAAAACGAGAAAAATATCGCAGAATTAAATAGATAAGAGCTAGGAGGAGGGAGATAATAATGTATTAACGACATCCGTGTAGCAGCTCTGTCGGCACTCACCTCGCCGCAGGCTGTGCCAGCGCCTTTCAGGTTAGGGTTTTGAGGGCTTGCGTTTGGATTGTTGCGGCTTCTTTCAATCACATGTGTTTATTCTTGGATTAAAATCATAAAACAAAGCCTTTGTCGTGCTGCTAACAGTTTTGGTTGAGGGTTTGAGGATCACTGCGGATCATTCCAGGGGCCCATGCCGCATGCTCTTTGCCTTCTCTTTTCCCTTCTTCTCTGGCCTAGCGATCAGCCGTGTTCTTCTTTTGTTGTCTCTTGTTAGAGCTTTAAGGGTGCAGCTTCTAGAACAGGGCTCAGGGTCTGTGGTTGTTTCCGGCTTGCAGTGTTTAGGGGCTAGGGCTTAGGGTTTTCACCTTATCTGAGGATCCGGGGTGTAGGGTTTAGGTCCAAGAGGAAGGTGAAGGCGCCCACTATGCCGCTTATATACGCCCTCATTGCGAGGGGTGAGTTTAGAAGCGCAGTTGTGTTGTACTTGCTGTTGTGAGGGCGGGTTGTTGGCTTCCATGTTGAACGGATTATAGCTTTGCGCTTGATTGAGGCCGTACCTTGAGGCTTGCTTGTTAAGATTTAGGCTTTAGAGTTTGGGGCTTCTGTTCAGGCAACGTAGTGCTATGCGAGCACGCAGACAGCGACGGGAACTTCCCGACTGTCACGCGTCTTCTTCTTTGTCGACTCCCAACCGACAAACAGCGCATGTCCTACATATACGGCAGGTGAGCTCTAAGAGCATCGTAGCGAGCATTGTAGCAAGTTATATCTGAGAGGGCACGCGTTGCTGAGCCAGGTAGTTTCTTTCCGTTCCTTCCGGAGAAGCACATCAGAATGCAGCAAGACCTACGGTTTAGGGTTTGGAGGCGTAGAATTCCTCTTCTTGCGGAACATTTGAGCTTTTAGGGTTCTTGCATTCTTCGCAGATATGTCTTTCATTACATCGTGTGCGAGGGGCTTACATTTTTGACGATGGCCGACGATAGCGCGGGATTTGCTCTGCCATTCGAATTCTTGGAGGCTGTCAAACAACAGTAGGTCGCTGCTCTTGCTGCAGCAGCTTCTGGCGCTGCACTCCATTATTATTCTGCTACCTTAGATGCTGTTGACTCCGACGCTGCTGTCGTTGCGGCGTTTGCTTCGTGAAGGTTGCTGCTGCTTCTGCTGATGCAGTTGCAACAATGCGTCTCCGCTGGTCCTCTATGTTGCTGCTGTCGGTCTAAAGATATGCTTCTGCTGTTGCTCTGATGCTATTATTGCTGCTGCGTGAGTTACCTTGTCGTTCCTTGTTTATACAGCATGGCGGGAGTTACTGTTGCTGCTTGCATTTTTGCTGCAGGTTCCTCCCGCAGTTCAGCGAAGCAGCCAAAACCGGCATTGCGTTGTCTCTACAGGGCAGCTTTGAGACTACCCTGAAGACAATGCTTGTGAGGGCTGAGCTAATAGAGCCAGATTTTAGCGTTAAGGGGAGAGTCTATGTAGCTGAAAATGTGTAATAATTATTACTGGTAAAAACCAAAGTAATAATTTCTTTTAGGGTGTAGGGTTTGGGGTTCCCTTGCTTTCAGGACTCGTTCAACTCCCACCAGACTCTTGATGATTTCAGACAAATCCGCACCCAGATCGACGGAATTCACTCGGTGATGATCGACAGCATCGGTAGGGTTGAGGGCTGAACTGACGGTTTAAGCCTGCGGGTTTGCCCGTGCGAGTTTGGGGTGTGGGGTTTACGGTTTGGCTGCTGGATGTAGGGTTTGGATTCAGGGTGAGCTCTGTGGGCTGCACAGACAAGATTCTTGAACGCGGGGAGAGGATAGATCTGTTGGTAGATCAATCCGAGCAGCTGAACCAGGAAGCTGTAACGTTCCGACGGCAGGTGGGCTTAAGATTTAGGGTTTATCTTTCGGGTTTCGGGGTTATTGCTGCTACTTGTGGCTTTTCGAAAGGCCTTCGAAACGCATCCTGTCCTTGGGGCAATAAAATTTAGGGTTTTGCTTTTGCCCTCAGGCCCGTCGCTTGAAAAACGCTCTTTGGTGGCGTAATGCGCGAATCGTTGCTATGCTCATCGGCATTATCTCTGTGCGTCTGCAGCTCTAGATATTAGGGTTTAGGGTTTAGGTCTTTGGGTTTCGCGTTGAGGCTTCAAACTGTACTTGCGCGGTTTTTGTTCTGGCCTGAAGGGTCGTTGTTGTGCTGTGTCGTTGCTGCTCAGATGCTCTGTGTAATCATTGGGATGGTATCCTGTGGAGGGATTACCTTCCCGTCCTGCAGAAACTCTTAAATCGGAGTGTCTAGCGGCAAAATGTAAACCCTAAACTCTCCCAGGCGTCACTTCTCTCGTTTCGTCACCGTCACCGCGTGGCACAGATTATGCTACTGCAGCACGTGCTGCAAGGCGAGCGACTGCCACTTCAAAGCACGCCGCTGCAGCTTGCGCGGCCACCGCCGTTGTTGCTGAATGTTTCCTTTTTTGTTTGTTTCGATTTGCATTTGCCGGCGTCCGCGACTCCTACGTAGACAGACTGTGCAGCAGCAGTAGCACCACCAGCGGGAACTGGCAACAGAACCACCGGTAAATGCAAGGGTAGCGTCAACTGCATTAGCGGCACTTACAGATTGGGACAACTGCTGCAGCAGCAGCTGTAATTTGCACAATGTGAAGCTTCATTGGCTGGCTTTGCTACAAGAAGCACTCTGCTTACCAACGGGCGGCAGCACCTTCTGCCAGTACCAGCAGGAGCGGCAGCTTGAGCCGGTGCAACAGCACTCGCAGCAGCCACTGGAAGACATGGGTGATTTGAAGTTCATGGTGAACAGCCGGTCTGTGCGGAGCTTGTCTTTACTTGCTATCCCATGTGTGTCTTTGTGGGGGCCTTTCCTTTAGGCGCTAACCCATCCTTCTAGAGGCGTGCTGGCACGCCACTTTCTCAACATTCCACTATCCTCTTGTTTGTAAATACAAGCTTAAGAAGTGTTTGGTCTTCTGGAATAGCAGCTCCCCCAATATCTGCAGAGAATGTGGGTGACGTTTACCTGCTCCACTAGTGTTAGCACGACAGCACTATTTGAGAGAAGCTTCGGCAGAAGCAAGGTACTAGTGTCACCGAAAACTAGGAAAAAACACCGCTACAACGCTCCAAAAGCGTACGGGGTGCGGGGATCGAACCCGCGGCCTTCTGCGTGTAAAGCAGATGTGATAGCCACTACACCAACCCCGCGACAGCAGAGCTGCTTCTCGCTCTCACCTGTTTGGGAGTTAAACATGCATGAAGATTCAAATTTGTTATTAGAGAAGCCACAAAACTTACACGTAGATCAGCTTTTTCTTTGAGATTTTCAAGACTAAAAGGATATATCACCAAGTCTGAAGGGGACGCAAGTGGAGGGACCTGTCCTCTGGTGGTGGTGGCGCTCTCGAGTCCCGGCATCGGGCTAGAAAGTTGAACCCCACAGTTGGTTTTTTAAATTAGAACACGGTAATAATATGTTTTTTCAAAACTGCCCTACTGTACGATGTACATTGAACTAGTACTACATCAGGACAACTCTTCAGATATGCCGCTGGATCTGCGCGACCCAGGGAACGACGCCGCCTAGCAACTGGAGGATAGAATCAGTCCCAGTACTAATTTGCATTTTCCTTTGCTACCTGTATTCCCTGCAGGATGTAAGCCAAAATATCGTGTCAGCCAAGCAATGTGCCTCTGTTCACTACATCAGGGCGATTGCTCTCCTCTGCACTCGTTAAGGGGAACAGTTGGTCTTCCTTTAACACGAAACGCAGGATCCCCACGAAGTGACTCCATTCTATTCTCTATCCCTTGCATGCACTGTTCCGATAGCATGAACTCACACGCGAAGCAGCAGCGGCAACTAACTAACTGTTCAGCCACCCTCACAATGGTCCGTTACCGAAGGCACAATCTGGCGCAATCTTCAAAAGCAAGGACCCTTTAGCAAGGTTTCAATCAGGCTGCAGCCACAGAAGCAACAGCAATATCAACGGCAGCAGTGCATAACCCCACCGCAAACCACTTTAAAGGCTAAAACACCACTTAGCCGAGGCCCATCCGACGCCGGCGTATGCAACCGTAATAACTACATTATTATTGCTCCTAATTGCCAAACAGTTGTTTAACAACTCATTGCGTTGTTAGCGTGAAATGGCTCTTCAGAATGCCCTTGCTCCCGGGCTTTCCATGCCCATTATAAGCACAGCAACGAAGTAAATCTGCACATAGTAGATACGTACCAGTGAGCTTGGAGATCAACCCGTTCGTATTTGTTAGCTTTCTGCCTCCTTCTATTGCTTTGCTACCATTTACCTCCTGGAATAGCCGCAGCCTAAAGCACTTTGCATGCACCGACAACTCCGAACACCCATAACACTGCCGGTGAGCCATCACCAGAATGCAAACCCAAACAAAACATCCACCAAGGGAACGCATCTATACAACCTCATCAGAAAAGGCGACACAGTGGGCTAGCAGAAGACCAGACAGGCAAACAACTTTGCCCATAGCTAAAAAGGCAGACGTAGGCGCACGTGCCAACGTAGAGGATCTCCTTAACAAACAGGAGTGCGGCGGAGTTTGAAATAGTGCTAAGTTCGAGGTGAAACCAGTCAAAAGCAGCAAAAAAGGCAACAAGCGGAGGGAACAACCACACAATGCGCCTTTCGTTGTCCGCACATTTGGTACAAAAAAGAGGGACAGTTTGGCCTCACTGTGTAAAGAAGGCCTTCCACGGGCTTTGTTGCTGTATAGTGCAACCGCTGTACCGTGGCAGCCTTACTGGAATACAGATTAAACTTTGATTTGTTGCTTATTTAGTACAAATGAGGCTACTAGGACACATTCATATTACTTTCCTGTCTTGCTGCGCTTAATGCGCCTGGCAAGACGACCAGAAACCCACTTGAACTCACAAAAAAGCTAAAGAAGAAAGATACAATATATCAAAAGGTTATCACGAGACATGCCCTTTTGCATCTGTTCATGCATCAGCTTTCTTCTGAGTCCTAAGGCTTCTTCCCAATTGTCGAAATATTCCTTCTGTTGCTTCTTCGCCGCCTCCAGAACCACTTCCGCAGACCAGGTGCGAGAAACACGTCGCACTTCTTTCTCGAACAATAACCTTGGCATAACAGGATGTTCAGGGTACATTCTCTCCAAAACCATCCCTAAAGTGAAAGTCTCGAATATTTCACCGCTGTAGGGAATTTCGTAGTTTACCTCGTCGCTCGAGGCCAAGATTAGAGGGCCTTCAAAAACACCAAGAAAGGGAATATATCCGCGTAGGACATCTGAATTGTGCTTGATCCGTTGGCTTTCTACCGTCATCAAAAGGACAAGTTTTTCGGCCAACTCCTTGTCCACTTCCGGTAATCGTTCCAATTCTTCATCACTTACTGAAGCGCCTACCCCCAATATATCAAGGAACTGCTTCGCACTCATCCCGGATTGCACTTCGCCCCCCAACTCATCTAGACTAGGGAAAGTAAACTGCTTATCGTGACCAGGTATTACCACCGGCACGCCACTTTCCTCATGCTGCCGCTGCATCTCGTCTACCTGTTTCAGGCGATCGGCAACACCAGAGCAAATAGACGTCAGAAGATTCAAATGCACATAATAACTATTCCCTAGTAATGGGGGCTTGCACCGGCGCATTTCGACCACGTGATCTCGTAGAGTCTTGAGGGGATCAGGATTCTCTTCATCGTCGGATAGAGATGGCGTGAAGAACCTCGTGAATGTTCGCCGAACTAAGGGCCCGGAACTTTCCCAGGCCTCCTCCATTTCCTCCACTGCTCTGTTGAATTCTTCCACGTACTTCTTCACGTAGGCATCCTCCAGATGTAGGAATGGCGCGTGAACTAACTTCCCTCTAAGTACAATAGACTGCGCTACTATCACAGCTAGCAACGATACAAGCAACCAAAAAAAGATTTTTCTCTTGTGTCCACGGGCCTTTTCAAGGGAAGGCAGTTCACGTTTTAGAAGAAGTTCGGCTTCTTCCCCTACTGTAGCGACGTCCCCATGTTTTGCGTCGCGTTCCTCCTCCACCTCCGCAGCCGAAGGAGCTGAGTCAGGGACCTCTTCTCCCATCTCCAACAACGAAATTAGGGTTCAAATATATCCACTGCCACAAATTACCATCTTCTTGTAAGGCGTTTCCCGAGCGCTCGATTTGCATGCGGCAGATACGGCCGACTCAAGTTGTCAAGATAATATCCCGTTCCGCCCCAATGAGAGTATATGAAAACAAGCCATCGATATCCGCCATCCATCTGAACAAGACAATTTCAAAGAAACAAAAAGTCGGCCTGATAACCGCGCCGCTAAATCTGAGAAGCTCCGCGCAGTCTCGATCCTGCTGACAAGGCAGTAGAACTCTAGTCGGGAACTACACTGCTTTCCACCCGCTTTCTGCTGTGCTTCCTCCGCATTGAAGCCTAATGAATCTGCTTTTTGTCTTTCCAATAGGGAGGTGTATTTTCTTTAGACCCTTTATTGGCTGCTATAGTTGCTTTGACGGACTAGGGAGCATTCTTGCTGCGATCTTGCCGTCGTAGACTTGTCAGCCTGACGTTGGTGTATGCACTTATATCTGCAAGCAGGGTGGCTGTAGTATTTAGAAATAATTTTCAATTTCAGTGCATTCATTAAGGGGGATATTGGGTATGCGTGCGTACGGAGTTGCCACGACCCAGTAGTTACTGCAAGGAGCGCTGGAACAGTGTGAGGTTGGATGTTGCATGTCTATTGTATGCTGGCTGTGAAGGGGTAAGTAAGTGTTTAACAACTGGCTACAGTGTTGGCATATGCCGCAGAGGGGGAATGTTTGTGCTTATGCGTGGTTCTGCCTTGCAGTACTAGCTGCTCAGCGCGGCATTTTGCTGCTCTTGGTCGGCGGGTTCCTCTCCGCACCACCACCAGTACCTCGGCCGATGTGCCGGGGGCTCCTGAGACCGGAAGGGGAAGTCAGCTGCTTCTTAGGAATTCTTTTTTCAAATCAACTGACACTGCTGCAGCTCATGACGGTCCTCTGGCAAGATTAAGTGCGCTCGCTACTAGTAGTTGCGCATGGTTCTACGGGGAAGGTGAGACCAACGAATGCCACCCCTATAGCAGGGTCGCGTGGCGCACACCAGTGAAAAATAACGGGGGCTCCTTGAAAAGTGAACAAAAAAAACTATGTGGATATACCCCCGAAATATTTACGGGGCCTCGTCGCATCGGGAATGGTTGAGTATCTGCTTTCCATGTTGAAGAAAATGTCTCTGCAGCAAAAACAACTTATTACGGTTACCACCGTCGTTGCCGACTGTCCAGATATGATGAGCGCCACGATGAGGGAGCAGTGGAGGACTTCTCTCCTCTTCAGGATGCTCCCGAAGGGCGGCAGTTGCTATTGGCATATTCGTTATTATAAGCGGCTGCACTACAATTAAGGTTATATGGAAGTAAGGGTACCATTTTTCCCGACCACACCCGGGCAATGGAAGCCTTCTGACATACTCTGCGATGTAGGTTTATTCGCAGGTTTTTCAGGGAATCCGCTGGGGCAGAACTCAAAAAACTTGGAGAAAGGAAAATATCGATATCGCATTGCAGAAAGAAGTATCAGTGCTCGATGAACATCAGTGGCGATGCCGAGACGTCTATTGTAAGGGTTGATACCCCGAGGAGTGGCAATGGGCAACCATCTGGCTTCCTAGTTGAGAAGGAAGGAAACTCGATTGGAAATGAGCCAGACGCAGGGCCTGTGGATGCTGTGGCTGTGAATGCCTGCCTCTCTGGCAATCAAGAAGAATATCAGAAGCGTGAAAATATGGCAACCGGAGAATCCGGCACTCGGAAAACACGGGGGGCATGCTTAGTGGAACATAGGTTCTTTTGCAAAAAACAGGGTAGCATAATTCGGGATTGCAGTAGCATGAAAATACCCAAGGAAACGAAGGCACAACACCTTGAGCAGCGTCAAAAGGGAGACAAACAGCGTGGCAAATCGAAACTCCTTGGCCGCCATGCAACATGCGGCCCAGTGGTTGCGACGGGAAGGGGTGACAGCCGAACCTGCAGATCCGCCTCGACTTGACTCTGCAGTGCAAGCTCGCATTAATGGTTTGGTTGCTAGAGCTACTTGGTACAAGAAGCACAGTAGATTTGATAACTGGAGCTACGGCAAGGAGGTCCAGCCCACCAGCCTTTTTGTTGACGCAGATTCTGCCTTTCGCTTCGCTGATTGCAGACCGGGTACGAGGATCGGTAAAGGCATGATGGGAAAATGCGAGCTCCCTTCATATATGGGGCATGCTACCATGAAGCGTCCTTTTTATGTTGAACCAGTTCACTGCGAGATACCCTTACGTATGCTGTGGCTGACGAGCACGCTTTCTCCAGACGAAAGCCTTGAGGTCCATATGTGGACAAGTAATTGGAGGATGCACCGTTCTGCCATTCCCAAAGCATGTGCATTTTCTTCAATAAGCGAAGTGGAATCTGTATCCCAAGTATTAGGTTGCGGGAATGCTTCTACGCAGCGCAGCGGCGTTGCTGGAAACAAGGGAGACATACATGCAGTCCGCCGTAACAGTCTTTCGAAGAGAGCGGCTTGTGGAATTCTACCTGGTCGTCACCAGATAGCCAATAGAAGTGAGCACAATTGGAGGAAAAGTTCTTGGGTGTACTAAATAACAATAAGCTAACAGGCTGCCGCCCATCCGCCAGACGCCTAATGCAACGCATCGAACTCACTCCTATACCATCCCCAAGGTCCACTGCGAGGTACGGGCGGCCCAGGCGTATTGATGAAATCGAGTTTCAAGAATGCACAGGTCAACTGTTAGCAACTGCGTTGGGATACAACCCGGTACTGAATGCGAATGTGAGTAGGTTTAAGACAATAACAACAACGCAACCACGAAGAATCAAAATCTCCCGTTCCCCCACGAACTTTTCCACCGATTGATGCGTTTATCAACCTATTTATTATTTGACTGTGCCTACGTTTTTTGGCGCGTCCCAGCTCAACCCGATGAATCGCAATCTACTCTATACCTGCAGTCGCAAACAATAATATACCTATGTGCGCTTCGGCGTCGTGAACGTGAACATACCTACCGGCTAATCGGTAGCTGTTGTTCAATCAGTGGGAGATAGATGGTTATACATATGGACGGAGTGCTTGTGTTTCGCTGGAATGTGCAAAAGCCTTCGCAGAGCCTGCTGTGTAGTGCAGAGCACTACAGTTAATTTTTCTATAAATGGGAACACAATAGAAAATGGTACATGTGGAGAAAACGGAAATAAAGAGCATGGACGCAAGCAAGGCGAGCCTGCGAGTCTTGCCAGAGCATAGCACTAGCAAGCCCAGTTCAGCAATGCTGTGGTGCTTGCCATTCCCAGCCCCCCCACAATATGGACTGCAGTGAGGACTGGTAATGTGGATCCGGTGTAAGATGGGGGGAAATAGCGGAATTAACTATCAAACAAACCCATCATGAGTTGCAACCAACCTTGCCACAACCCGTGCTGCCATGTACAGGCAGACCCAATCATCTCCCTCGTGGTGTACTCACCAACACCGCATGCAATTGTTTAACACTTATTTAGCCCTCTGTAGCCAAAATGAGCACAAGCAGAAGTAAACGTACCAGCTTGCGACAGATCATGCTTCAGTAAAGGCCGGAAGGAAAGCTTACGAACACTCCCTGATAGTAAGAGTGTATTGTCGGCAACACCTGGAAGCTTATTCCCTTGTAGTTTTATTAAAAATTCGCAACTAAACGAACGGCAAAACCAAACAATAACACCGCTGTGGGCAGCTTGCTTGCCACTGTTGCTGCATCCCGGCGAAGAAGCACTGAACCCCACCTCCCAACTGCAACTAAAGCAAATTACAAATTCTTTTATGGATTTTCATCATATTTTAATTATCAAACAACGAACTTCAGTGCAAGAAAGTACCTGCTCACTTGGGTTTCTGTGCCGGGCCGGCTGCCACCGGCGCTGCCGAGTCGGGCTGCTGCCTGTCTGCGTCGTTGAGGCAAAACGAGCGGGAGAGGGGCCTTTTAAGTCTTCTAATGAATGAATCTTTATGGAAATGTTCATTTAGAGGGAGAGAAACCCGAACGTTCTCCCCCAGGTTGCTGCAACGAGGTCTATATATGTAACCCCACACGGCACCGGCGCGTTGGGCCGTTGGTTGCCGCTTCTGTTTAGAGCCTCTTGGCTCTGTTTTTGCTCGTCTCTTCTTTTTAAATTACATTTCACATTAAAAGAAGAGTATTTCAATTCAAATCAGCCTCAATATTTGCTCAAGGCGTTTGGTCGCCGTGCTGATAACCCCAGGTGACCTTCCCCGTAAACGCAAATGGAACTTTTTGCAGTTTTCTCCTTTTAGCTTTGCAAACTTGTACTCTCTTCAAGTGGACCCTAAGGGGTCAGAAAGTGGGGTGTACAGGCGGGTCGACAGGGCGACAGGAGGATGATCGGCTGCAGTCTTCGTGAGTTGCAGCTTTGTCACCTGAAAGAGAGACATTTTGAAATGCAACAACACCTACATGAGCACAAGATATGCAGATGGGGCCCCATAAAGAAACATGTGCAGCTTTTAGGGCCTATGGAGGTGAGAAATGTACGTGGAAACTTAGCAAAGACAAACTCTGTATCTTCCCACTACACGATGGAGTTCAGTGGCTCGGTCTTCTCTTATAAGCAGTTCAACGCCACAGGTAACTCAACAGCACCTGATGCTACTTCAGCGGCAACTGAAGCAGCAGCAGGCGCACAAGGTGCAGCCTCAGCACCCGCAGCAGCAGCAGCTGCAGCAGCAGCAGCTGCGACATTAACAGACACACAGAGAAAAGAGCACCCTGCCTGCTGCCGTGGCAGCAAATACAAACTCCCCACAGTCGATACAAGTTCATCAACAACCACAGGTGCAGCGGCAGCAGCAGCAGCAGCACAGGCGCCTGTAGTGAGGGCCCGCCGTTGGTTGAAGGCATGCGCAATCTTTGCTGCTGCAGTGCTGTTCCTGTGTCTCCAAGGCAGCAGAGGTGCTGCTGCAGCACTTGGTGCTGCAGCAGCACCAATCTCTCAAGGGCATACATCACAGCACCAGCAGCACTTTTACCAAAGGCGAATGAACAGAAGACTGCAGTCGCTACCTTCGGCCGCTGTGCAGCAGCGACAGCAGCAGGACGGCTTCCAGCAACAGCAGCTGCTGCACCAGCAGCAACTCCTCCAACAGCAGCAATTGCAGCAGCAGCAGCTGCAGCAGCAGCAACTATTTCAGCGGCAGCAGCAAGACCAGAGCTTCCCCTTGGGGATAGGCCAGCAACAAGTGAACCCTCAGGTGCGACCGCAGTGGCAGCAGCAGATGCTTCAGCAGCAGCTGCTTCAGCAGCAGTTGCAGCAGCAGCAGCAGCTGCAGCAGCAGCAGCAGCTACTGCAGCAACAGGCGTTGCAGCAGCAGCCACAGGGGTTGACTGCTCTCCAGCAGCAGCAGCTACAGCAGCTTCTTCAACAGCAACAGCAGCAGCAGCAGCAACTGCAGCAGCAGCGACTGCACCTGCAACAGCAGCAGCCAACGACTCCGTGGGACCAACAACAGTGGCAGCGGCTGGAGCAGCAGCAGCAGCTACAGCAGCAGCAGCTGCAGCGGCTGCAGCAGCAGCAGCAGCTGCTTCAGCAGCAAGCATGGCAGCAGCAGCAGCAGCAGATGCAACTGCCGAACCAGCCGCCGTATCGTGCACCTGCTGTTGCTGCTGCTACACCTGCCGCAGCAGCACCTCTTTCTCCTGCTGCTGCTGTCTTAGTTAACAGCCTTCGCGGTGTTTTAGGCGACTTGAGCAGTAGCAGCAGCCCCCTTTCTGTGGAGCAGTTAACGTCTCTGGTGCTGCAGCATCTTCCACTGCAGCAGCAGCGGCAGATATACCTCCAGCTGCAGCAGATGCTTGCCCCCGATCAGGCGCAGCAACAGCAGCAACAGCAGCGGCAGCAGCAGCCGCTTCTGCAGCAACTGCAGCAACTGAAGCAACCGCTACTGACAGCGCAGGAGGCGACAGACCTCAGCAAAGCTACCGCCTTGATGTCTGCTGCTGCTGCAGCAGCAGCAGAGGAAGAAGCCATTGTTGGGCAAAGTGTAGACGCATGCATCCCCCCACACTGCCGAGACACCCCAAAGAGAGGCCCTGCTGTCTGCGGCACCGATGGGAAGACATATGAAAGCCGCTGCGCCTTGATTGAAGAGGCCTGCAAACGCAGCAGCAGCAACAACAACAACAGCAGCAGCGGGGGCGGCGGGGGCGCTATGAGGCTGGCTGTGCAGCACGAAGGCGCTTGTGGGCAACAGCACCACCAACACCACCGACAACAGCAAGTGCAGCTGCAGCAGCAAATGCAGCAAACGCAGCAGCAGCAGCAGCAGCAGCAGCACGTTCAACAACCCCCTCCGCAGCAACAAGGACCTCGAATTAGGGAAATCGCTCTATCCCGCGGCTCCAACTCCCCCGCTGCTGCCCCCACGGTGCTGCCTGCCCTTCAGCAGCAGCAGCCCCAGCAGCTGCAGCCACAGCAGCTGCAGCCACAGCAGCTGCAACCACAGCAGGTGCAGCCACAGCAGCTGCAGCCACAGCAGCTGCAGCCACAGCAGCTTCAGCCACAGCAGCAGCTGCTACGTCAGGGACCGCAGCAGTCGCAGCAGCATCTGCTGCTGCATCAGCAACCGCAACAACCGCAGCAGCAGGCGCAGCAGGAACAGCAGCAGCAGAAGCAGCAGAAGCGTTGCAGGTTAGAGTGCCCTTCTGGGGGTGTGAGGGTGTGCGGCAGCGACGGGCAAACATATGCTAACGAATGCGAGTTAACAGCTTATGCATGTTTGCAGCAGCAGCAGATTCTCTTAGAACATTTGGGGCCCTGTCAGAAGGGATCTGCTGCTGCTGGTGCCGCTGCTGCAGCAAGTGCAGCAACAACTGCAGCAACAACTGCAACACAAACTGCAACCACACCAACTTCTTCCACTGCTGCTGCTGCTGCTGCAGCTGAAAACTCTAAACGCAGCAGCAATACAAGTCGCGCAAACTGAGGCTACACCATCGTGAGTCCTTATCAAGTTCCCTCTTCACCTGCTGCTGCTGTTGCTGCTGCTGCTGCTGTTGATGCTGCTGCTGCTGTTGCTGCTGCCGCTGCCTCTTGTATCGCTGGCAGCGCCAGCGGCTCGGGCACTGACACCACAAAAACAGTATCACCAACAACAGCAGCAGCAGCAACAACAACAACAGCAGCAACAACAACGACAACAACTGCCCTCTCTGAAACTCCCTCACCCACATTCCAAACAAGCACAGTGCAACCCCCTGCAGTAGCAGCAGCAGCAGCAACTGCTGCTGCTGCTGCTGCTGCTGCTTTTGGGATGGCCTACAGCGGCCACACCAGTAGATGGTGCATTCCAATCGCAGTTGCTGCTGCTGCTGCTGCTGCTGTTGCTGGCCTTCTAATTGCTGCTGCTGCAGAAACTAACCCGAAGGCAGAAGCAGAGGCGGAACGACAGAAGCAGCATCAGCTGCATCTGCAGCAGGTGCAGCAACGGCAGCAACAGGCAGCAACAGTAGCTGCTGCTGCTACTGCTGCTACTGCTGCTACTGCTGCTGCTGCAGTTGATGCACTCTAAGAACCTTTTGAATATTAGGGATGCACAAATGCCCCTCGTTGCAGTTTTCTAGCGGAAGACAAACGAAGATGGGTTGGGGTGTATGTACAGCCCGTAATTATACCTGAGCTGTCTAAACAACAAAGAAAGGGTTCTATATTAAATGCGTTCTGTTCACAATAATAATTCCTTCTAAGTAATAAACAACATACTCTTGTAAATAGTGTGTATTATAATAAGGCTCGGCAAATGAAGCGATCGGTACAACAAAGAAAATATATTTATTGTAGCCAGTTATTTTTTTACGTTCAAAAGTCGAAACTAAGTATTTCTACAGCATATATATATATATATATATATGCATATACGTATATACAGATATACGTGTATATATATATATATATAATGTATACGTATATATATCCTGAGCGTTTACATATGAATCGCTGATAGTAATGAATGCATGACAAATATTCTTAAATAAATAAATAAATGAATATACATATTATATATATTATATATATTAACATACAGGCAGACAAACATCTGCTCATAAGACTCAGACTCGCATGGCAGTGCTGCGTCTAAGAGATCCAAGTAAAAGATGTGGGGAACACAAAAAAGAAATAAAATGGCAGAAAAATACTTAAATAAATTTATCTAAGAAACAAATACTTGGGGTGTACGTACACCTCAACCTCAGAGCAGTGCACGAAAGGCTCGTGCACTGCTCTTCTTTTTAACTTATTTGGAGTTTGCGGGGATAAATGGGTTCGTAGCGATGAAAATAAACAATTAAGACTAAAATTTATTTTAATAAAAAGAATATTTGATTCTCTTTTCCTATGTTGACTGCTGCTGCTGCTGCTGCTGCTGCCTCGGTGCTGCTCCGTCTCCTTGTGCTGCTCCGTCTCCTTGTGTGCAGCAGAGGCTCTTCGTGTCTCCGCGCCAGCCCCCAGCCCCCAAACCCTAAACCCTAAACCCTAAACCCTAAACCCTAAACCCTAAACCCTAAACTCTAGACCCAAGGCGATCCCAACTCTGTGCTGGTCTTCTTCTTTTTGCTGCTACTTCTCCGCTGCTGCTTCCTGGCTCTTACCGTAGTAAGTTTGTGTGTATACAGCGGCTGGGGTTTAGGGTTTGTAAGGAGAAACCTTGGTGCTGATACAGCGGCAAACCCTCAACAGAATCGTCGTTTAAAGAGCAGCAGGAGCAGAAACAGCAGCAGAAGCAGCAGCAACAGCAGCAGCTCCTCGTGGACCCGCCCCCGCCGCGGCCCGCGAGCAGCAGCAGCAGCAGCAGCAGCAGCAGTACCAACGCTCCCCAGCTTCTTCTTAACCTTTTACAAGTGAAACCCTAAACCCTAAACCCTAGAACATTAGCAACAATTTGCTGCTGCTTCCTCCCCTCATCTGGCTGTCCCCGAGTAGCGCAGCCGACTGGGGGGCCCTGTTCGGGAGCAGCAGCAGCAACAGCAGCAGCAGCAGCAGCAGCCGCCGCCGCCGCCGACCCAGCAGCAGCAACAGCAACAGCAGCAGCAACAGCAGCAGCAGCAGCAATAACAGCAACAGCAGGTTAATAACAATACTATGGATATTCTCCGCTTGTTAAAGTGCTGCCACCGGCACCGAAACAGACGAAACTCACAGCCGCCGCAGGTATGTTTGAGGGTATAGGGTTTAGGGTTTAGGGTTGCGAAACCCTAAACCCTAAAACCTAAAATTATTTATATTCCACTCCCTTTGAGTCTGCCTCCTGATATTGTAGTTCCCGCTGCTGCTGTCACTGTCGCTGCTGCTGTCGTTGCTGCTGTGGCTGTTGCTGCTGCTACTGCTGCTGCTGCTGCTGCTGCTGCTGCTGGAGCTGAAATGGATTGAGTCGAGGTTTGGATACAGAACCCAATAGCCCCTCGGCTCTAGGGTTTAGGGTTTAGGGTTTAGGGTTCAGCCTATGCGATATCTGCAGTACGAAGTAGGGGTTTCCCCTGAAAAGCGAATAGAGGAGCAGCAAGAGCAGCAGCAAAAGCAGCAGCAACGACAGCAGCAGCAGCAGCAACAGCCAACGCACAAGCAGCGAGTGAAGCCGCAGCAACCGCAGCAGCAGCAGCAGCAGGCGCTGCGGCACCCTCTTGCTTCTTCGTCTCAGGGCTCCGTCAAGCTTCCGAGTGCAGCAGAAACAGCAGCAGCTTGGCCTCCTGCTGCAGCATCAGCAGCAGCAGACTCCGCAGCAGCAAACTCTGCAGCAGCAGACTCTGCAGCAGCAGCAGCGGAGGCCCATAGAACAGCAGGAAAACCAGCAGCAGCAGCAGCAGCACATCGACCGAAGGAGAGACAGCCAACGCCAGCAGTAACAGCAAACACGGCGGCAGAGGCAGCAGCAAATGCTGCTGCAGCCGCAGGAGCAGAAACAGACTTAAGTGAAGCAAGCGCAGCACCAAAAGAAGCAAGAGCAGCACTGCCAGTAGCAACAGCAGCAGCAGCAGAACACCACCTGGCAGGCAAAGCAGCAGCAAAAGGAGCACAGGCAAGGAAGGAGACGGCAGCAGCAGAAGACGGTGGAGCAGAGGCAGGAGCAGCGGCAGCAGCAACAGCGGAGGCAGCAGCAGCAGCAGCACAAGCAGCAGCAGCAGCAGCAGCAAAAGCAGCAGAAGCGGAGGCACCAAGAGCTGTTGCAGCAGGAAGAGCGGCACAGGCAGCAACAGCAGCACTGTCCCAAACAGGTGAGGCAGCAGCAGCAGCAACAGCAGCAGAGGCAGCAGCGGCTGATGAGGCTGCAGCAGCAACAGAAACAGCAGCAGATATTGCAACAACAGAAGCAGCAGCTGCAGCAGGAGCAGCAGAAACAGCAGCAGCAGCGGCGGAAGAAGCGATTTCTCTAGCAGCAGAGCCTGTGAGAGCAGCAGGGACAGCAAGGGGAGCAGCAACTGCAACTGCTTCTGGTGCAGCAGCTGCAGCAGAAGAAGCAGCAGCACGCAAAGCAGAAGCAGCCATAACGGCTGCAGAAGCAGCAACAGCAGCAGCAGCCAACGCGACAGCAGCAGCGGCTAAAACGAAAGCCGACGCAGAAGCAACAGAAGCAGCAGCAGCAACAGCAACAGCAGCAGCAGCAGCAGCAGCAGCAGCAACAATGACTGGAGTAGCACAGCCTGCTGAGTCGTCTGCAGCAGCAGCACCCACCGGAACAACCGCAGAAACAGCACCTAAAGGGGCGGACGCAGCAGCAGCAACAGCAGCAGCAGCAACAGGAACAGCAGCAGCAGCAACAAAAACAACAATTGCTGTCGTACCACGCAACGAGGATGCCTCTGGAGGCAAAATGGGGGCGACCCTATTTGATGTCGAGAGGGGCCTCTGCACTTTCAGATTTTGGGGGCCCCACGTAGCTGAGGCCTGGGTGAGGGTTTAGGGTTTAGGGTTTAGGGTTTAGGGTTTTAGGGTTTGGGGGTTGCTGCGTAGGCTTGAGAATTTTTCCCTAGGGTTTCTTTTGCCTGGGCCCAGAGGACTTGTGGCTCCTCAGCGTTAAGGGTTCACGGTTTAGGATCTAGGGTTTAGGGTTTAGGGTTTAGGGTTTAGGGTTTGCGATGTTCAGGTGGAGATTGGCGGGAGTCGGTTCCCTTTTGAGAAGGAAGGAGGAGACCAGTGGTCTGTTTGCCTTTCGGGTGTACGCACAGGGGCTTCTTATCATTTTGTTTTTACTTCAAACTGCAACGATTGCTATCATCAAGAAGGGGAATTCCTTCACAGACGTGGGCTAGGGTTTAGGGTTTAGGGTTTAGGGTTTAGGGTTCCCCACAGCGAACAGCTACCTATTTGCTGCTACCTGCGTGGCAGCTGCTGCTGCTGCAACTGCTGCAGTTGCTGCT